TAGTTTTGGTGTAAATTAAAAATAAATAAAAATGTTTTTTAAAAAAAAAAATCCTCTGTGCGTGTTCCTGCTCCATCCATGAGTCCATCTTTGATTTTTTTTTTTCTTTTTTTTTTTAATGCTGAACCCATGAACAGCTTCTATCTGTGACTTTGAACCATCCCTCTTAAACTTTAAAAGTGTAAAACAAATAAAACTAAGACAGTAAAAAACTTGAGTTGAACTGAGACACAAGTAAACTGTTGAATCTCATCAGATCAGCAGCATGTCTTCAGTGTTTATGTAAAAATATTATATAAAGGACTTTCATTAACCCTGTTCAGGACTTTGGGGGTGTTTTGGACCCCCAGACCATTCGGTTTAGGTGACAGGTATTGTTTTCTAATTTTTAAATATAAGAAGAGGGACATTTGGACCCAAAAATACGTCAACTTATCAGAACATTTATTCATCATAGTATAAAAGTCTAGAATGAAGACCAACAAATATTTTCCACATACTCTTTCTTGGACCCCTAAAGACCTTCTAGGTATGGAAAGTCCAGACTAGGGTTCAAACCAATTTCCACAGTATCTTAAACATTCAAACACTGTTTCCTGAACGTGTTAAATTTTGCAAGTCTCATGTGTCTGTTTGCTGTATTAGTGGTTCTGTGTGTTACAGTTGAACTTGTTGTAAGTTGTACAAAGTGGACAAAAAAATAAATAAAAAAATCTATAAAGGCGCCCCTATAGCTCACATAGTTGACCCAAGAGGCTATAGTTCCCCAACACAGTGGTCGTGGGTTCGACTGCCGCTCATGACCCTTTGCTGCAGATCTCTCCCCATTTTTCCTCCCCTCTTTCCTGTCAAAAAAGGCAAAAAAAAGCCCCAAAAATATATTAAATCAATAAAAGTTAAGTTTGTATTTAACGGTAATCACACTGGTTTGTCATGTATCTGAGTAAGAAGAACCAGATACGTGAGATTTATGGAAGATAACATCGACTAATGGTGACAGTTTAGCATGAAATGTTCATTTTTCTTTCATCAGGGGAACAATCATGAGACCTGCAATAAGACCTGAACATTGCACTTTCCAGCATTTGACAGCCATCGTAAAGGGCCCAACACATAGAGTACGGGCCATTTTAGGGAGCTGTGGAAACCTTGATGTTTGATGCCGACATTGAACCGAGTGGAATCCACGTGTGGTTTTGTGATGCAAAAAAATAAAATTTAAAAAAATCCAACTATGGTAAAGGAACTGAATTTTAGAGAATTTGAAGACTGCGATCAACCTTTTCTTTAAAAAAATTTGTTACTAGTTTTATTATTATGTTATTTTCCTTTCATTACAAATAGCTGCTAACACGCTGAGTGAGGCGACTGCAAAGTTACACGAGTGTTAACAGAATTTAACAGCTTTATGGTCAAACTAAAGGTATTTGTTTTATTTATAAAAATGCCAAACTGACTTTTTTTCCCCCTAACTGTTAAAAACTGCTTCTTTTGGATGTTTTTACTTTGTCTTCAGTGCTGTATGGATTCCGTGACTTCTCCCAGACATATTTAAAACTGTAATGTTTCCATTATATATTGTTTCAGCAAAGTTTCCTCCATTAATACTTTTTTTTTTTGTTTTGGTTCCCATCATCTGCTTGTGCAGCTCTAAGCCTGTTTTTAAAGTTTGATCCTGTAGTTTTTCAGTTTGCAGCCTTCATCCGTCCACGCTGCTGTGACAATGCAGCGGCGAAGACAAAACACTCGTCACCCGTCCGAGGTCTGAATGTGTCCATCTGGAAAAGGAATCGGAACAAACAGGTTGTAGGGGCAACTGGAGGCTCTTTCTCTCCCTCTCTCTCTCTCATGAAATGCCTCCCAGACCTGGTGGTGTCTGTGACAGCCTCTCTCCTGGTGAGCTAGCCTCCATGATGAATGGCCACCTTTCCACTCTTTATCGCCCCACTAAATCATGGGCTTACCATGCTTTTATGACCAATTTTTGCTGCTTTGTTTTACTTTCCCCCCATTTTTGAATGAAACTCCAAAGGCTGGGGTTTCTTTTTTTTTGTACTGTACATCAGATTAATCTTTGAGGCTTTATTATTGCATCGGTATTCCGGTGGGGGTTTGACTTCCAGCTTTGTTAATCAGACTCGCTAAGACAAATGTGTCACACTTTTGTTTGGACTGGAGAAATGTTTCACACAACGTTTCTATCTACATTTTTCCCCGGAATGTTTTATTTCATACGTTTGTGCTTTCCCCACCTGTATCTGTTCTGCAGCACTCCTGTGTTTTATTTCTGCCGTAATTCTTGGAAAAGCATAAATTATTCATGTGAATGACAATCAGACGTGGAGCTGGTCAGAGATTGACAGACGTTCGGTGTGTCGGGGCAGAGGAGAGGGTCTGAGAAGAAGCTCTTCACATGAGCTGTGATGAATTACTCGGCAATGGAGTTTGCTGTGTGTGTGTGTTTATGGTCTTTATGTTTCTGCCTTTTCCAAACCGGACTCTGTGATGAATCCCCAAGACGGCCAATGATCTAACTTTGCTGTTTACACACACTGGAGGCCTAAATATTTTATTTTTACAAAATATGAAACAAAATGAAAATGTAATGTTATTTAAGTCTGCAGCTGTGCCAGTGTAATACTAATGTTTTTAAGTTCAATCTCAAGGATAACTGGTAAGATATTCTCACCAACTCTTGTTATGTATTTATATTGATTTTAGAGTTTTTCTGTAAGGCTGGCAACCCGGCATTAGCTCGAGTACTTGCTCCCCTTCGACTGTTGGGCGTCGGTAGACACAAACCTTCATCGTGGTTATTTTGGTCGTTGTTTTAATCATAGAAAAGGAAAATTTTCATCCAACATGCATGTTTAAGAGACTTTACAGACACGTTTCATGATGTAAGTTGAGTCAAATAAATAAAAAACGATGGTTTCTGGGGAGTTAATCGCAGGACATGCTGGGAGGTTAGCACCACTTTTCATTTAAGACAAGGAGTCAAGACCTTATCAGGACTTTTTTATTGTATTCAATAAACAATCCACTGATATTCCCATTTTAATGTTTATTCATAATAAGTAGTGCTGCCACTTTAAATCTGTAGTACAGCAGTAACACAAAAGGCTTCTTAGCAAAACATCAATAAAAATAAAGTAGATTTTACTTTGTTTTGTAGATAAATAGATATATAAGGTTTTAAAACTGCATTTTTAGGAAGCTTTGACTCCTGCACAGAATAAAACTGAGGCTGGTTGGGCCACATGTGGTGTACTCTGTCTCCCCCTAGTGAACACAGAAAAACCTTTTCTCATCAACCAGCTCACTGATTGTCCTGACTGACTGCCTTTTGGGAATTCTCATATTCAGGAACAAAGAAGTAAAACTCTTTGTTGTAACTGATCAAAATCTATTTATTATCAGCAAAAACTAAATTTTAATTCACAAACTGAAAATGCATCAAGTGATGCTGCATCACATAAAACTGTTTGTGCTAAAATATATTTTTATTTCAGTTGCACGTGAGCAGAGGAGACGACGGTGCAGCCCGGATGTTTTTATGATCTATCCATCACCTAAACAAAGCTGGAGTTACGTGAGCCACTGCCAGGGGAGGTCTGACCTGCGGCCTAGCATGACATTGAAGGAAGGAGTGCTGCTCACCCAGGAAATCCCATTACACCAAAGTATGATGGATATCAGCCGTGTGGAAGCTCATATGTGGTCTGACATATGATTTGTTATAATTTGTTTAAAAAAAAAAAAAGAAGTGACAATGTTCACCTTTATTCTCGTCTTTCCTTTTTCACAACTTATATATAAATCCACGAAGGTTCATCTGCGCTGTACTTGTATGTAAGAGCAGGTACAGAATAGCTAAGATGGACATTTCAGTGAGATTAAATGGTTGAAATCGGGTGCTCAAATCTCACATCCCAGCATTTAGAACATTTTTATTCCCGAGCAAAGAGAACCTACTTCCAGATCTCCATGAATAATTAATAATCCCACAGAGGTGAATCATCTTGTTATTGAAATGAAGTATTCCACATTTACAATAAGAATGCAGCCATATGTTGTTGTTTTTTATTCAGAGCTGTAATGACATTTGTGAAGCTTCAGTCTGATTGAGGATATGGCAGCTTGCTCATGTGCAAAGGTGAATAAAAGAGAGTCGCATCATGCAACTAAAACACTTTTTATCAACACACACAACAACAACAAAAAAAAAAGCAGCAGCTCTCCACAAAACAAATGTCACCTGAGCCCCCTGCAGCGAGGCACGCTATTGTATCGCTTACCTCAAGACTAAAACAAAAGGTTAATCAGGCGCCGTCCGTCCTCTTCTCAACAGTCTCCCCACTCTGTTTGTTTGTGCTACATCACTCCTCCGTGCCATATTGATTGTCCAAGATAAGAGAATACCATGAAATTTTTCAGCTAAAATTCAATAAAACACATCCCAGCATGCGACCTTTTGGACTTTTTCTTTGACTTTATGGATTTTTCTTGATCACATTTATCTTCCTAATAAAATTTGAGAAACGAGTCGTGCGGCTAACAGGTCTTTGTCACGGCTCTTATCTACGTGTGGTCCTCGCCGTGGGTCTTGTTTATCTGCCTCTGAACTTTCCCCTTTGTATGCTTTTACCGATAAGACAAAAAAAAAAAGAAAGTCAACAGACACTGGGCCACATTTCAGCGCCGAGACGTCACACGAAGTGGACCGTCACTGAGCAGGCTTTTCAAGACGCCACGAGAAGGTTACAAGTGACATTTTAAAGAAGATTAACGCCCGCAGAGCGGATCAGGAAGACGAAAACAAAAGCCGCCAAAAAAAAAAAACTGTGAAGGAAGAAATGAGTTTGAACCCACACATGGGAGACTCGTGACGGAGAGGAACCGAGCCGAATACGAGATCTGGAAGTTGCAGTCGATATCGGAGGAGCTTTGCATATCTAGCAGAATCGAAACTCTTCTAACCACAGAGCCGCGTCACAACCATGAAGCTTACCGGGACCGTCCTTAAACCGGAGTACAGTCACTGCAGCACAGACAGTGAACGTTTAAACAACATGATGCTGGTACAGACCAACACAACAGGTATGATGATCACAGGCCTTCTGAGTGTTGTGAGAAGTTCACAGAGCGTTGGAAATATATCAATTTATGGCTCCAACTGATCACTGTTTTCATTATAGACCAATTTTGGGGCTACAGCTAATCATTATTGACATTATTGACCCAATCTACAGATTATTTTCTCCATCTGTGGTCCAAGTTCGGTCCAAAGCTGAACCCAAAACGGAGCAAATCAGCACGACTAAGAAGCCAGAAATGGTATACGTGATCCAAACAGTTGCAAATGAATGTTTCTGTAGTTGGACTAATAATTTCAGGTCTGGTTTACATTCTGATCCGATTCCCCTCATAATCTCACCCTCTGTCATTATTGTAATTAGGCCTCTGTCGAGCTGAATCAGGCCCTTTCCTCGCCGGTTTAAATGAGAACGCATTACCACCAGGCTGCTTCTCAAATCCAGATAACTGCCAGGCAAATGTATTCTAATCTCTTAATTCAATCTAACTGATCTTTGACCACTGAAAGCATTTTCCTTGTTAAATCGTAATCCCCAGCTGCTTCATCTGCCTAAACTAAGCATGCAATTTGCAGACGTTATAGCCCGGGGTCCGTACAGTATGTGCATCGGTGCAGAAACGCCAGGAACATGCATTTGATGGTCAGTGCTTTTAAAGAGAGGCAACCCTGCAAACAAGACGCGGCAGGATGCAGTTTAAAGCAACATGGAGGCAGACTGAGTGCTCAATGTGAAATTAGCCAGAGGAGAGGTAGTGGACTTTGGTGCGCCACTGACCTCTAACTGCTTTAATTAAATGGGGAATTTCCTCTTCCTCCTGAGTAATAACTAGCAGTGCTCCTCCGAGGTCCATGGCATTCACATAGAGGAGTGATATCTCTACCTATAACCCTCCTTTTATTATCATCACACCGTCCCTGACAGACCTGGGAAGGAGAGCCCAGATAATTCTGAACAGGTCAGAAGTTCATAATCAACATCTTTTCTCCAAAGTTGTGTCCGTGTGCCGGGTTATTTCGTTCCACGGAGGTGGAATAAGATTTTACACGTGTCGTCGCTGATGAAAGGGATCGTGAATGATCGTCTCTGTCGGCTCCTAACAGAGCTGATGTTCTCTGAGCTGTGTGATCTGATGCTTGTGGGGTTTATTAGATTCATCTCAGAGATATTTTCTTATTCACTAGCAGCCAAATAAAGGTTCGTAGAGATTCGTACCCCCCCTGCAATGCTGATGTCTGTAACTATCCAAACTTTTCCTCAGGCATGTTCACTGTATACTGTACTTTATTAGACGTCTGGGACTTTTTTTTATTTTTTATTGTCTTCTTCCATTTAATTGGCAGATTCGCCAGCGTCAGCAGCCGCTTCGTCACTGTCACAGCCTGATGGAGGCAGGACTCTGTGCTCCATATGTGCAGACAGAGCCACAGGTAAACATTACGGTGCATCCAGCTGTGATGGCTGCAAGGGCTTCTTCAGGAGGAGCATCCGCAACAACCACAGCTACAGCTGCAGGTGAGTTCCATCACAGATCCTCCTCCAAGCAACAAAGCATAAATCCAAACCAGTCCATTCATTCTGTGTCTTAACATCCACCAATAGACCACAATAAACTTTTGATGATTCACCAGAAACAGTAAAACCAGCTCTCACATCCAAGTTGAAGTGAGAAGGCGTTAACTTCACTGTACAACAGCCTGAGAGACGTCACAAAAGAGAAATCACCCAGAAATGGGAAACCAAACTGAAACGCTCAGACTAGTCCAGGCACGGAAACTATAACTTATAATTAATGACAGAGGACGCTGAATCAGTGACGAGATTTAGCTGAAGGGTCCTTTTACTTTCCCATGGGAGCAGCTGATTGTCGACAACAGATCCCATCAAGTCTGTGCTTGTGTCTGAGCGTCACTGAGTGCAAAGTTAGATAATGAGTTGCTGAACCTCAGAATATTCAGCATTTGACAAAAATCAAAGTAGAACGCCGTTGATTTCACACGTCAAACTCTGTTCACAGGACTAATACTGGACATAAAAGTCACATACAGGCTTTTGTGGGTCCAGAGGTAAATGAATGAAGTCTGATAAATTGCCACATGTGGTTTGGACTGAGGACTACAAATTTTAAAAAAGAGCAAAATGTCATATCTCCAAATTTAAAAGTTGATGTTAAGATCAAGACAGAAGGCAGCTTACCAGAGCCTTGTATCCCATTCTTCATTTCTGCTTCAGCGTAGCCACCTGAGGCTAAAGCTGCCACCAGCACACCTGAGTCTGTAACCTAACCAGTGGCTGTTCTGTTGAATTATGGGTAACGTAGTCACCATGTTTTAGGTACGAAAAAGAAAAATATGTGGAAAAAAAAGAAAGCTATCTCTGGTTCTACTCAATTAAATGTTCTCAAACATTTGATCCAACAATGTTCCAGGAGTCCGATGAGGATCAGAAGGCTCCTTTGCTGTAAACAGCCAGCGACTGTAAAGTAATTGTAAAGCACAACATCTGTGCTTTTTGCATTAAACGTTTTTCTCAGGTTCAACAGGAAATGTGTTGTGGACAAAGACAAAAGGAACCAGTGTCGTTACTGCAGACTGCGAAAGTGTTTCAAGGCTGGAATGAGAAAGGAAGGTCAGAGCAATTCTGTTTTTTTTTTTTATTTAATGCTGTTTGCTTTTTTAATATAAAAAAAAAAATAACTGTGTAAATGATCCAGATATATATATATATTGAAAACTTCAAATTGTAGCTCTCCAGCATTTAAGGTCCTCCTCTGGTCACTGATTAAAACCAGAAAACCTCCTCTCTGTGTTCAAGCAAATATTTCTTCTGTCTAATATTGCTAAATCTCTTTCCATTAAAATAATCCTGTCCTGCTTTAAAGCGGCTTAGATGTAGCCGCACACTGTTGATTCCTCTAGATTTCACAGATCTATGATGTCCTCCACTCACCCTTCCCTCTTCGCTGCAGCTTGAGCACACCAGCTCACCTCCAGCTCTGCTCAAACGCTTTAAAACTACTCTACACAATGACAAGTTGTAATATTGAAGTAATTCTGGCCAAGAATAATAACATAAGCTTCACTCTGCAAGTTGAACCTTTAGGTTTGTTACTTTTGAAGCCCTGCAGGTGTTAATCTGTGTTGCTGAGGTTGTCATCAGCAGCTTCAAGGTGGAAACGCTCAGCCTTGGCATCGACTGTCTCTTTTGCTCAAGATGTGTCTTCCAGCATATAAACTACAAACTCAATTTTTTTAACCAGAGGATGTCCGTAAAACATGTCATGTCTATTTACAGGAGGATGACACGAGATCAATAAAGGAGAAATGTTACCTTCTAAGGAAACAATCAGCATGTCAGCATTCATTTTCATGTATGTTTTTATGCGTGCTGTGTGTAGCCAATCTTTTACCGACTCCCACAGATAAGCAGAGAGAAGGAGATGCAATCAGAAGTTCCCGGTCCCCACACATGAATAATTAACATGCCCGAGCATGGGCAAATATTTGCTCTGCATTTTTCTGAAAAGATGTTGCTCACAACCCCCCGAAGTGAAGGCCAGGGGTGCAGGTTTAAATGTTTACTTCACTAATTTGCCTGATTTGCATAACACGCTCACATTAAGCCAGAAGTACGGCCGAAGCAGAAACATTGGAGTTAAATAAGACCTTAGCATTCTGTCATTTCATCCTTGACCTCTGAACGAGCTCCCAGTCGCTGTTTACTCCGAATCTGGACTCAGCTGATGTTCCACAGAAGATTCATTTGTGACATTGTCATGCAGAACCATGTCAGCGGAGCACAGAGGGACCCTGCTGCTCCTTCTCCTCCTCCGGTTTGATTAATGTGCTCCTGATTGGTTGCTGAGAGGACGCCTCTGATGACTGATTACTCTGACACTTGGTCGCGTTGTCTGACTTTGTAGAGCCATATTGGAATCTGTCCGAGGGCATCCGGATTGCTCTGTTTCTAATGACTCTCGCAGGCGGGTCATCAACATGTGTTGACATCTCCTCCGCTAAACATAATCTATACCAGAAAGCCCGCATTCACGTCTACTCTTTCCTTTCTTTTTTTTGTCAGCGGCAAATGTAAGACGATGTTGTCGACAGAATGTCAAATTAAAATATATCAAATGGAGGTCTGCACAACTGGATTAAAGCTTTACCTTGTGCAGCTTTGCTTTAATATAGTACTGCAACGAGTGCATCAGAAAAAGTTTCTCCTACATTTCTCATCTTGTCTGTGTCGCTTCTTTCTTATCAGGGATGAGACTTTAGCAAATGGGCAAAGAAGAGTGAAAAAAAGAGGAAGCTAGAAATAATGTTAGATTCTTTACATCAGTGCTATATATATATATATATGATACCTGATCAATGTGTTTTGGAGCATATAGTTTTATATCCATTCATATCATGTTTCATATTCGAGCACGTGACATTTATTGGCTTCCCGCCACCCTGAAAGAGACACATTTAAAGATGCGAACAGAAGGAGACTTCAGGCTGCCCGAAAATATGAATTTTTGTCTAATTTCTGCCTCATTTCATAAGTAGACAACATTTGGCATGGCTAATATTGGCACGAACAGCGACTTCAATGTCCCCGAGGATAGAGAGACTCTGTGAAGGCAAAGAGTAGACTGCTTCTTTCAGGATGTGTTTGCTTCCCGAGGAGAGTTTTTTTTTTTAAAGTGCAGGACTGATGTCTGGAGAAGCCAAGAAACTTCTCTGATGGCTCTTTCCTCTCTTTAATCTCCAGCCGTTCAGAATGAGAGAGACTGCATCAACACTCACCGAGCCAAGGGACAGACAGTGGGCACTCTGTCCATCAGCGTGCTGCTGCGGGCCGAGGCCGGCGTGCAACAGGTAATGCGCCGCCGTTTAAGATCCCAGACGCAAAATTCTGAGCTGAAAATGAACGTTTATATCGTCCGTGTCTGCCAGATGATCCCTTCTCTGCTTCTGAAAATCATGCAGACGAAGGTCAGGGATGGAAAAGACTTGGGTTACATTTTGGACGGACCCGCTGCAGGCTGGATTCAGTTACTCCTCAGAAATGACAAAATTGCAGAGGGACCTCGTCTAATCATGGCCCATTTGTTGCACCGCTAGGTCTGGGATTGTGCGCCGTTACCTTCAAATGCATAATAATAACCAGATACATATAAAAGGAAGGCAAAGAAACGGGCAAATGAGCTTTTGCAGTGTACGTTGCTGGAGTGTGTTTTCAAACGGGTCGTCCATCCAACATTGTTTTTACACTTGATCCATACAAATGGGGTAAAAACAACCTTTAATTTTCACAACCCTCCAAGTGCTAAAGCATTCATACACCCAGTAGCATCGTCACCTTCTTCATCCCCCGTTTACCTCCCTCGCCGCACTCGTGTACCTTACCTGAGGTTCATTTCCACGTTGCTGCATCACCTGAGCTCGCTGTGAACTCACATCATACTTTGTTGCTCTCAGATCCCAGCGCTGCTCTCACCTCGGAGCCATGACATCAACACCAAGAAGACAGCCTGCGTGGGAGACGTGTTTGAGTCGATGAAGCAGCAACTCCTCCTGCTGGTGGAATGGGCGAAACACATACCAGAGTTTTGCAGCCTCCCGATAGATGACAGGGTATAAAGAGGACCTCAATAACCTTTTACACATCCATCCATTATCTATACACCACTTAATCCTCACTAGGGTCACGGGGGGCTGGAGTCTATCCCACCTGATTTAGGGCAAAGGCAGGTTCACCTGGACAGGTAACCAGTCTATCACAGGGCTACACTTAGAGACAGACAACCAAGCACACTCACATTCACACCTACGGACAATTTACAATCACCAATTAACCTCAACATGTTTCTGGACTGTGGGAGGAAGCCGGAGAACCTGGAGAACCCACGCTGCACGGGGAGAACATGGAGACTCCAAGCAGAAAGATCCAGGGTGTCCTCACTGGGACATGAACCTGCGACCTTCTAGCAACGATGCTAACCACCTGCAGCCCCCTTTTATACATACGCCTCACAACTACCTGTTCAGGAACTGACTTTTTAACTTGGACTGAATGAGCGCTTTTACATTTCTCAGTTCCGGTTGATGCTTTGGATGACTGTCAGTTTGAATTACAGCCTGTGTGTTTGCAGGTCACCCTCCTACGAACCCACTCTGCAGAACATCTCATTCTAGGAGCTGCAAGACGCTCGTTGCCGTACAACGACCTCATTCTATTGGGTAGGACGGATGGAACTGTGCATCTATGTGTAGATTTATTTCATGTATCTGCATTGATCTCCATTCTGGTTTTTTTTGAGCAGGCAATGACTTTGTGATCCCCCTGAGAGGTGCCGAAGTCGAGGTGTCCAGAGTGGCCTTCAGAATCCAAGAAGAGCTGGTCAAACCCCTCAGAGACCTGGACATCACAGACCAGGAGTTCGCTTGCCTCAGAACGATTGTCTTCTTTGCTCCAGGTCAGTCTGTGAAACTGTGGATTACAGTTTCTACTTCACGTCACCGCCTCTGTGCCGGACAAGGAAGAACTTTCAATCTCCTCTGTTGGATCTGTTTATTTTTGGGGGCCATTTTTTTCATCTCTAGTTTAGTCTGAGTGCTCCGGCTGCAGTGTGTTTCAGGCAGATTTTCTAATATTATCAAGATGTGGTGAAGTTCTTGGCAGGCGGGCGGAGGTGGCTGCCTGCTGAACTTAATGGTCCATTTACCTGAGGCAGCTGCAGCAGAGTCAGACGGGACGGCTGACGGACCCGAGCACCGACTTCACCGACTCAATCCTACCACTGAAAGCTCAGTTTAATACAGAACTGTTGCTCACAAATCATCCATTTTAAGGTTTTTTGGAACCAATAACAAGACTTTCCCACAAATAATAAAGATGCATAAATAGAATAAAAGTACTTCTGATCCAGTCGTGTGAACGTTGGTAGTTAAGATGATGTCATTTTATTTACTCTGATATCAGACGGACTAACTCACTCGGCCACTCATTTACAGAATGGCCTCAGACTCTTCTGTGTGTTTAAATCAATATCAATAAACAAAAGACTGATTATCAGTTTACTAAGCAACAAGTGGAATTGAAGCAGCAGTTCATTGAAAGGCCTCCTCGTCTACTGCACGAAAACTCAATAAAAAAACATCTCAGACAGGCAGACAGAACATTTTACACTGAATTTAGAAGGGCTTCGTATTGGCTAAAAGAGCAAAACATAGATTAGTACTGCTTCATTGTCTGTAGTCATTTTCACATATTTTTAGTAACTGGTTATCTGTTGGTGGAGCGGTGGTTAGCATCATTGCCTCGCAGCTAGAAGGTTGCTGGTTCATGTCCCGGTGAGGACACCTGGGATCTTTCTGCGTCCATGTTCTCCCCGTGCAGCGTGGGTTCTCTCTGGGTTCTCCAGCTTCCATCCACACAGTCCAGAAACATGTTGAGGTTAATTGGTGATTGTAAATTGTCCGTAGGTGTGAATGTGAGTGTGCTTGGTTGTCTGTCTCTAAGTGTAGCCCTGTGATAGACTGGTTACCTGTCCAGGTGAACCTGCCTTCACCCTGAGTCAGCTGGGATAGACTCCAGCCCCCCATGAGCCTAGTGAGGATTAAGGTGTAGAGATGATGGATGGATGGATGTTTGTCTGTTGTGTTAAAAACTTAATCTCATTCTAATATTGCAGCGGAGCCTTAATCTTGCTCACTTCATTGAAAAAAAAAAAGAAAAGTTAAATGATAACACAGTACAATTCAACTTTATGTCATTTTTTTTTTACAACCTCCTTGTTTCTCATTCTCAGTTGATGGATAACATCCTTTGATTCTTTCACTCATTGTTAATGTTAACAGTTCCCTGATAAACATTCACTTGCCTTTATCTTTACTTCTTACTTTACCCACAGTGTGTCCTCTTCCTTCTGTCCCGCAGACTGTCTGGGGCTGGAGAGTCCTCAGGTGGTTCGACATCTGCGTCTCCAGGCCCACCTCCTGCTCGAAGAAGCAACCTGCGAGCAGCGGGGACGGTTCGGGGAGCTGCTGCTGATCCTGCCTCCGCTGCAGAGCGTCGCCTGGCAGATGGTGGAGACTCTCCACTTAGCACAGCTGCTGGGTGAAGCCAGAATGGACAGTCTGCTGCTGGAGATGCTGCTGGGGGAGGAAACCAAAGCAGGAGTGGGGCTGAGTACAGGTGGGAGACACAGCTACTGGTTTTTAGTCACGAGAAATTGTGAACTCAGAGATCCAGCATCTGTGTTTACATTTTTTGGTTCAGTTATCTGCTCTCTCTTTGTCTTTCTGCAGGCGATGATCAAACTCAAGAACAGCAAAGTGACCAAAGAGCCTCACCTGCTCACCTCACCTCTGTGATCTCCCACGTTTCATCATGTGAGCACTGACAAATGAACCTATCACAACAGGTCTGAACCTCGCTATGGAACTGTGCATATTTTAGCAGCTTTCAGTGAGTAATGGTGTAAATGATAGTTTTCATAAAGCTGCATGTTGTGACCCCAGTGTTCAGTAGGTCACATCTAAAAGTTGTAGCCACTGAATAGAAATCAATCGACAGACGCTGAACCCTCATGTGTTAAATGCCAGGGCTAATGCCTGTCTGTCTCACACAGCTCTTACAAATGGCCTCCCTGCTGCCCACACAGACTGGCACTGAGGTGTACAGACATGGAGAAGCTGCCAGCGTGCCCACCACATACCGGAGACACCTGTCCACACCAAGAGACACCTCAAGACGCAACAACCAGACCAAGGAGGAGAAAGCTTGAGCCAGAACACAGACCAACATACACACAATACAGCATATATGCAGTCCATTGTACACATGCTGTTATGTATACAGACAAATACACACCACTGACTGAATTATTTGACCAACAACATTCAGCACATTGCAAATATGCAGAGTAGAAGAAAAACGAAAATTAAACAAAGTATTAAAGAAAGCTTCTGATGAAAGCAAAACTAGTTGACACTGCACTGAAGAACATCTGAGCAGAAACTACTTAAAGCTAACACAGAGCAGAGTGACTGAGCTGGACTGCAAAGCCCAGCACTCGTCAGCAGAGGGCACAAAAAGCCTGTTCTGAAACACATCTGCTGCCCCTGTAAGACAAGACTTCACTCATGCTGTCAAAGATTTCCATCCATCCATCGCTTAATCCTCACTAGGGTCGTGGGGGGCTGGAGTCTATCCCAGCTGACTCAGGGTGAAGGCAGGTTCACCTGGACAGGTAACCAGTCTATCACAGGGCTACACTTAGAGACAGACAACCAAGCACACTCACATTCACACCTACGGACAATTTAGAATCAACATGTTTCTGGACTGTGGGACGAAGCCGGAGAGAACCCACGCTGCACGGGGAGAACATGGAGACTCCACGCAGAAAGATCCCAGGTGTCCTCACCGGGACGCGAACCAGCGACCTTCTAGCTGTGAGGCAACGATGCTAACCACTGCTCCAGCTTGCAGCCCCAATCAAAGATTTGTGAATTAATGGAAACATTGCATTTGAAATAACAGAATTAGGTTTGTAATCTCATAATCCCAAAAGTCAACTCACTGTTTTGTTTCGTTTATTAGGATCCCCGTTAGCACCAGCATTAGCATCGGCTATTCCTCCTGGGGTCCACACACATACGCACAATCACACTTATTCACACAACAACCACAAACACAACAAACATAACAGCTCATCTCGTTAGCTTTACAAAATAAGGTAGAGAAACATACTGTCATTCAGTACAATATACATTAAACCATACACAGAATTATAAATCCACCATTATTACTCTTGAACTCATGTAAGGAGGACAGAAGTAAAGAAAATAATACAGATCTAAAGAAAATTAAAAGTACTCAGCGGTTATTCTTTGCTGATTCAAATAAAGATGATCAACACCATGCACCAGATACCTGCAGTATTTCCTCTTAGAGCACTTGTTGTGGAGACAGTGTGATGAAGCGTTCATGTTGTTATTGAACGGTCTGATGCGATGAGGGATGGGGAGCCTCTGCAGAAGTCACTGCAGCGAGTCAGCGTGGCTTAATGACCAAAGCATGTTCTACCTAATGAAAGCCTTTTTCCTCTTTCTAGCTGCCCTGATTGTTTTCATATCTTAATTGCCGAATCCCTACAAAAACAAAGAAAGAAATCCATTCCTTTATTCTGCCCCGAAGCCACGGGCAACCAAATTCACAACAGAGGGTTTAATCTAAACAAAATATTGGTTGTAAATTCCTCCGTTCTAAAGGCTGAAAATTCAGGCTTTCTTTAAAAAACAATACGAAGGCATCATAGAAATTAGGTTAGCAAAACAGTGACGTGTTCTTTTTCCATTTGAGGCCCTATCAATATCTGATGTTGAAAGGAGTTATATAAAACATTATATAATCCCATTAATGTAATTAGAGTAAAAGAAAAGCCTCTTCTCCGCACATCTCCTCAGCGTTTACATTTCCCTGACAGCTTATAGAGTGTGTGCTTGGCTGCACTTTTGTCGGCCACATGAGCTCATACACAGCAGTCGGATTTATTGTAATGAAGAGCGACACGCGGCTGCGGCGCGTCGACAACACGGAGCAGATGGGCTGAAATGCACAGCGACGGTCATTTTAAAGCAAATTCTAAAGATATTTTCCGAGAAAGTTCATCGCGTGCACAGACGTTGAAATGTTCTGATGTTGGTTTGACCTTCTTTGCATATTCTCTGGTTCACTCCTAAAACCTGAAGGAATGGAATTCAGAAATAATTAAAAAAGAAAATAAACTGCAGACTGACCTCAAAATGTTTCCTTATCACAGACAGAATAAACACACTAAGTGGATGAATCACTGACTGCTGCTGACCTTTTCCTCGACCTAAATTAATACATTTTTCCACTCTTTTATTTAGTTTGTGCACAAACCGAAAATTACAACGTCAGCGCTGCCATGACCATGAATATGCAGTGAAGGAATGCATTATGTGCTGTGTCTAACAGATGATTAGCTGAAGGTGATTTCCCCCCTCAATGGACAACATGTGATATTGACTGTTAAAGAAAAGCTGTTGGAGAGCTGCATCCTTCTCTGTTGCTTTAAATTGATGGGACCCTGTTGCCATGTGCAACAGCTTGCCTCAAACTCTTCCTGGATAAAAAAAAAAAAATCACTGGACCAAACCCTGTTGACCTACTGGTTGCAAAATCTGTGTTGACCTGCATTCTCCATCAGCAGCAGTAGTGAAAGGACTGAGAGATAAACTGTTATCCTGTAGGAGGAAACTTGGAAGCGAAAACGTGACTGGAAAAGTGTGCAAATGGGCATTCCTTCTGTAAATGCTCCATGAAATCCTTCTTTTTCACATCACAAGAGGCACAGCATGGTATGACACGTCAACCCAGACCAAGGCTCCTTTGTGCAAATTATGTATAAAGCCAGAAGCCAAATAAATGAACTTATAACGCAATCATATCTATCTGAACAGTCAAATAATTAGTGATGGATTGTTCGTTTCTGGGGCTGCACGGTGGAGCGGTGGTTAGCATCGTTGCCTCACAGTAAGAAGGTCGCAGGTGAGGACACCTGAGATCTTTCTGCGTGGAGTCTCCATGTTCTCCACGTGCAGCGTGGGTTCTCTCCAGGTTCTCCAGCTTCCTCCTGAAGTCCAGAAACATGCTGAGGTTAATTGGTGATTCTAAATTGTCCGTAGGTGTGAATGTGAGTGTGCTTTGTAGCCCTGTGATAGACTGGTTACCTGTCCAGGTGAACCTGCCTTCACCCTGAGTCAGCTGGGATAGACTCCAGCCCCCCATGACCCGAGTGAGGATTAAGTGGTGTATAGATGATGGATGGATCTATACATGACGCAACATGGACGCAGAAAGATCCCGGATGTCCTCACCGGGACGTGAACCAGCGACCTTGTAGCTGCGAGGCAACGATGCTAACCAGTCTGTCTCTAAGTGTAGCCCTGTGATAGACTGGTTACCTGTCCAGGAGTCAGCTGGGATAGACTCCAGCCCCCCACGACCCTAGTGAGGATTAAGCGGTATATAGATGATGGATGGATGTTCATTTCTGGCTAAAGTTCAGTTCTGACTAAAGATTTCTATCCATGAACCATCATATCAAAGGTGTCACTGCTCTCTAAACGTTTCTCAGATCACAAAACACAACCCCGCACTAACTCTCACATCCACTCAAACAGTTAATTAGGCTTTTAAACGGGAACATGAGCTAGCTGAAAACGGGGCTCTTGTAATGCTCAGGTTTCGCTGTTTGTCACGGTTAAGAGGTTCGGCGGTGACACTGCTGTGATGTCAGTTTCCTTCCCAGGGGCCTGCTGGGAGGCAGTCTATTGATCTGTCAGGCTCAGCAGAGAGCGCGGTGAAAAGATGAACGCTGCCTCTCAGCTTGTCAGCGTCATCCTCCACATCCAGAGCAGAGGGAGTCCAGAGGTAGAGGCTCTTTGTCTGCAGCGATGCTTTTCTTTTCTACAACAGTATGCTAACTCTTTATATGAGTTGCACTTTTCAACCAGGAGACTGTCAAATATCTGCGAGCGTCTTGGATTTCTGCTGGAGTGTAAACACTGTCCAAACGCTGGCGACAGACCTGCTCGATTCTCCTGACTGAAGGGCATGACGGTCCGCCGCAGCATTATTTGATTACGGCGGAGTGGAAAGGCGGCGGGGGAAACACTGACATCATCAAATCAAAGGCTGTTAAAATCAAATTTGCATCCGTCCAAGTTTTGAAATCTTATATTAAACCTGAAAGACTTTCTGAGCCACATGAGACGGGAGCCTGGTAAACAGAATGCAAATCACTTGAAAACCATCTTTCAAAACACACTGAGAATAGCATAAAAGAAAGAATGAGAGACCACTGTGGCCACTATTCTTTTTTAAAGCAAAGTGTTGTGAAGAAACACTCCCACAGCTTGTAATAGCGACGGAACATATTTTGCGTACTTCGGTTGAGTACACTGTGTTGCTGTTTTCAAAGATCCAAAACTAAGTGAGGCTGTTCCTTCGTATCTCGAGGGTGTTTTCCTTCATGAAGAATGATGGTACTTACTGAAAATCGCATGACCCGAAGTGAAAGAACTCTAAATTTTTTAAATGGAACAACATTTGCATTTGTTTTTGTTTTATTTCAAATTGACTTTGGGACTTTCCAGGAAGGCCGAGGTTATAGCAAATCAGTTTTCATATTGTTTACGAATCATTCAGTCATTTGACAGAGACGCTGCTCACCGATCAACTCGTTTATTGTTCCTGGCTACATCTTAAAAAGACAAAACTACAGTGATCTAAATAACACAGGTTAGAGACCAGAAAGGAAGGAACGGAGGACTGAACGACAGGGATGATGGATGAACCAGCAGAAGACTGAAATCTTTGTAGGTCAGGAATGAGTAAGACGAGTTTTGTTTGTTTTCGTGTCTTACGCCCACAAAGCCCGGAAACATGGAAAGACACCCATGAGTAAGATAAGACCTGATGCTGCAAAAACACAAACATGGCTTCTATGATTTACAGGTATTTTCCACACTCGCCCCCACACTTCTTCTTCTTCCTCTGCCTGACTGTATAACTCATAACAAGACATCAGCAATCACCTCAAGATAAACTGAATGGACACTTGCCGGTGCCCGGTATTGTCATTTCCGACTATTTGCTGCACTGATCTGACATCAGATACTTTCCAAATGCACACAGAAGTGATCAGCTTGCAGCAGTGCTTTAAAACCTTTTGCAGTTTTTGCAGCACAGCAA